AGAATGTGAAAAAAAAACTATTTAATTTGGGCTGACATTACATATATCGTGAGCAATATAAACATCTGAACCGATCTCGATAAAATTTAAATAAAATAAATAAATTACGCATGCGAGGGACTTTAACACCAAATCGGATAAAACATATATATGGGAGCTATAGCTATATCTGAACCGATTTTCAACAAATTTGTGCTGGTGCTTGTTTCTTGGATGAATTCAGTCGGAATTGTAAAAAATCCGTCCATTTGCGCTGATATTAACCATTTGGTGCACAATAAAACGGATATCAGTGAATTTATTTATGGGAGAATATCGTGGTTACCGATATATGGAGACTTTACGATATCGTGGACCGATATAGCCCATTTTCGAACCTGACCAGTTTGCACAGACAAAAGACAGATCAGTGTCAAATTTTAGCTTCCTATCATTATTAGTTTTGACTCCAGCGGGATTACAACAGACAGACAGACGGGCAGTCGGACGGACGGGCAGTGCTAAATCGTCTTAGAGTTTTACGCTGATCAAGACTATATATACTTTGTTAAATATTATTTCGATGAGTTACAAACGGAATGACAACTTTAGTATACGCTCCATATACTATGTATGGTAGAGGGAATAAAAACAACATGCATAATAGGTATAATTTGTAAATATCCAATAACCTTAACTAATATTTTTTCCTAAACGAAACCCTATTAATATACAATGACCGCCACATTATTATCCCCATGGCCCGAAATCCTAATAAAAATATAATATAATGGTTATAACCACAATACCAATTAAATTCTAATTTATGTAACCAAAATATTACATATGTATTTAATGGTGGCTGTGTGAATGAATGACCCACAAACCTGACCATCCATCACCATAATCATAAAAGTCCACCCGCATGATTAAACTTGTACAGCTAATGCACCACAATTGCCATTATTTGGGTTATGCAGCAAAGCAATTACAACATTTCATTATGTTTGATGGCCAACAAAAACACATTGGCTGACTAGGCAGGCTGCTCTTCCTCGATGGAATGAAAGACGGGAAGGGGAAATATGCAATGAAAGGATCATGAGTTTGAAAACAAAAAAAAAGATAATTGGGGGAATTGATGTTGACATTAATGAATATGGTCAAGTGTACAAAAAATACAAAAAAAGGAATTAATGAAAATTACACTAAGGGAATGCATTCCATTTAATTGCAGTAATGCATCCTCTTATGCGTAACACTGCGTAATATCAAGTCCATAAAATAACTATAGATTTAAATTCTAAACAATTTTCCGTGTAAACCTTTGAAGTGTAGTAGTTTCCCTTCACCACCCAATAAAAAAATTCCAGGTCACATTGACGTTCTTGATCTATGCAACTAAATTTGCATCATTTGGATTAGCCAATAATCAATAGCGTTGTTGATTTGTTCCAATTTTGTTGGCATGCAATTATCATCCTCTAGATTTTCATATTCATCTGGCCTTGCTGCTTCTAGTTTTCATCCTCCATAAATAAAAAAAATGTATATACAAAATTAATTTCATTAAAAATATAAAAATAACTTGCCATAAACGTCCGTTTATAAACCGCACTGTTTTTGGTAGAAACTCCACAGATTTTCTATTTCTTAGCCACTTTGCAAGAAAAACACCTTATCAAATTTATATTTCCTATATGACTATCAACACAATATATGTCTGTTTGTCATATAATTTGTTTTAAATAAATGTGTGGCTTATAATCATAAAATACTATTTCTTTATTACAGTTGTCGAAGGTGTTGTTGTCAAGCCTATAATCTCATAAAAATATATATTTTTAAATTTAAATCTTTTAAATACAAATCAATTTAAAACAGCCTTCTTATCAGGAATAGCATATCCAATTTCCTCATACTGAGTACAAGAATTTCTTGGTTTACAGAGGTGTTCTGAAGGGGAGTTTCTAATAGCGATTGATTTATCTATATAGCGAAGAGTTATCGATTCACGAAAAAAAAAAAAACAAAATCGTGTTATTATATCGCCAAGGATTATGGTAACGATTCGTTGAGTCCCGCAGCAATGCGAATAAACAAAATTTTCTACCAATATTTGGAACAAAATTTAAAACTTCCAAATTATTTTAGATTCAAAGCAAAAGTTTAACAAGTAAAAAGTCATAGCCAAAAATCCGGGCCGAACTTCTAATACCTTCCACCATTGGGTAAGAAAAAAAGAAAACATTTGTATGCAAAAGTATCTGGATTCAAACCTCCAACTCCAGTAAGATCGGTAGGAGAATTGTTGGAGCCGTTATATGGGGGGCAATAATAATAAAACAAGGGCCTATATAGACAAATTTCTACTACAACGATTGTAATTTTATTCCGAGCCTTAAATACCAAAATTTTACATAATTTCGTGGGTGAAAGTGACTAGGATGACTAGAACCAATACGGACAATTTTATGGACAAATACCAAATTTCACACACAACTCTATTACAAAATCGAATATTCGATGGAACCGTTATATATGAGCTATAGAAAACCGTGGACCTAGATATTCAATATTCTGACACTCATCACGAGCTACAAATGCCAATTTCTGGACAAATTGGAGGAAATATGTGGCTAAAACTATCAAAATATCGAATATCGGAAGGTACCCCTATATGGGGACTGTACGAAAACGTGGACCTATGTATGCAATGTTCCGCCACTGGAGTTCGAACCCATAACGAACTACAAATACTAATTTTTAGACAAATTTGTGGAAATATGTGGCTAAAACTATAAAAAAAACGAATATCGGGAGGTACCGTTATATGGGGGCTATACGAAAACGCTGACCTTTGTATACAGGGTGAGATAATAAAACTGCAGCAAAGTCAAACGCCATAATTTTTATATTATTTTTAAATTTTATTGAATGAATGCAAAAAATTTCGGAAATACCATCAAACGTCCAATGAAACCGTCACACGCTGCCCGGATGTTGCTCTACGGCATTTTGGCCCATTCCGTCTAAGCGCTTGCTGGAGGTGATCGACAATATTCGACATTTATAATAATATAACATTATAATATTCGGCATTTATTCAGATGCCACGGTCGATTAATACGAGCGGAGAGCGACCACCATCGGCTGTGATGGCAGCCCACACCATCACCATGTCCGGCCCAAGGTTCTTGGGGTAACGTTCGACAGCATGTTCAAGTCGTCCGCGCAAGCCACAGCTATCTGCGACAAGATGAAAAGTAGGAACAAGGTCCTCAAGGCGCTAGCCGGCAGCTCTTGGGGTGCGGACAAAGAAACCTTGTTGACCTCTTATAACGCGATAGGTCGGTCTGTGGTCAACTATGCGGCTCCAGTGTGGTCTGCGAATACTAGTGCTACGCAGTGGAAGAATATCCAGACCTGCCAGAACGCTGCCCTGAGAACTGCGACAGGGTGCCTCCTCATGACACCAGTGGACCATCTACATGAGGAGGCGAAAGTCCTTCCCTTACGTCAGCATAATCATATGCTTTCGTTGCAGTACCTGCTTGGGTGTTACCGCGAGAGTCATCCCAACCATCATATGGTGGATAACTCTCCCCCACCCAGGCGTGTCAGGAAGGACATACATGATCTAGAGAGGGAGGTCCAGCGCTACAAGAGAGAGACTCTAGATCAAGGAGCCTATCAGGCAGGTCTGAGTGGCATTCACACTGATGCAGTCGCGGATGCTATGAGCAGTTATAAAGTGAATGCCGTCCTCGGAGTCCACCCCCCATCCATTGCAGCCGAAGAACGTCAGCTGCCTAGACAAACCAGGGTAGTTTTGGCGCAATTGCGTTCAGGATGGTGTAGTCGCCTCAATTCGTATTGGGCACGAATTGATGAAGATGTGCGTGATGCCTGCCCGGCGTGCGATACAGGCCCGCACAATACGCTACACCTTTTTAATTGCTCAGCCAAATCTACCCAACTCACTCCAGAGGATCTCTGGCTACAGCCCGTTAAAGTAGCCGAATTTCTAAACCTGGAGCTGGAACCAGATTAGCAGAACACAAACACACACATGCACTACTGCTACAACAACAACAACCATGGCCGGCGCTTGAGTTCTGGTGACCAACCGATGGTGCACATTTTCAGCTGACCTCTTTGGCAAGTAAACACGATCATTTTGTTTGTTTACAAACTGCTGGACAACGAATATTTTCTCATCGGAGAAAACCAAATTCAGCAGTTAACCACTTTCGGCCAAGCAAAGCAACTCATTAGCTCTTTTGAGTCTATTTTCTTTCTGTTGCGGTGTAAGATCTTGCACTTTTTGGAAATTCAATGGCTTTACACCGAGCTCATTTTTCCATGTTTGCCGAGTAGAATATTGCGATATGTTCAGCTCACGAGCCATTTTTCGGCCACTACGACGCGGGTTTCGATCAAGTCGCTTCTTTACTTTTCGAACCATTTCTGCTGATGTTGCTGTTTTATTTTGTCCGCTTCCTTGACGTCGGGCTACGCTACCAGTATCACGGTAACGAGCGATGGTGCGAGACACAAAAGATTTATTCACATTAAAATACTGGAGTACTCTAACGATAGCCACTTGTGGTTTTCCAGCCAAATATAAAGAAATCACACTATCACGCTTGATTCCCATCACGAATAACTTTTTTTCTGGAAAATTCCCAACAAAATGCTTTCGTACCCTTGTAAACAATATAATGAGATGTCACTGGAATAATTTTAAGTTGGTTGCAGTTTTTTCATCTCACCCGTATAGAAAGTTTCATGAATCACCAAAAACATACCTTCACCTTCGACAACAGCAATAAGATATGCTCCTCCTTATTTGCATCCTAATTCCTTAGCCCGTATATAAATTTCAATTAAAATAATTTAATTCAATTTTTAATTTTCAGATTTCCAATGTAATAGCCAATGGAAACTACTCTAGAAATCAATTAAAAAAACATTAATAATATCTCATAACTTATTTCATAATTTGAATAAATTTTCAGGAATGCAAAATTTGTCAATTTCCTGTTCACTGGTATGCCTGATAATACTGGGCAGTGCAGCTTTGGTGGGGGCCTTTGGGGTTTGTCAACGGCAGATAAGTGCAATTCTGATAACGGGAGTTATGTATTTATTAGCAGGTGTGTTTGTTATATCTTGAATAATCCAGAATAGAAAACTTATTAAATATTTCCTTTTCTTTCCAGCATTATTTGCATTATTCACGTTAATGATAATACACTTTAAGCGACAACAAGGAAGGCCCATGCTGGACAGTGACTATGATGGCACAGTGGATGGCATTGTGGCCCGCCCAGGAGGACCGGCAATTATGGCCAAGAACTTACTGGGGGCCCGGGTATTTCTAACATCCTGGAGTTTGGACTTGGGCTGGGGTGGTGTGGTTTTGTGTGCCATAACCTCAGTTTTGTGGATACTATTATCAAAGATAATGCGTTACAATCCATTTTCAACGTTAATGATTTAAGGACAACCAATCCCATAACACATACAGAAGGTGTGGTTTCCACAGCCAGTACACTCTATGAGATTAAAGTTCTGTTGCAAAGTTCTGCTTGAACTTGGAACAAAAGAACTTAAAATAAACTGTGTTCTTCTTCAGCACTTATTTTTTGCCAGTTGAAGAAGAAGCAGAATGTTTGGAAAAAAGTTTATGGATTGATGATGAGAGTTTTTGAAAGCCATTTTCATCAATGCAAGTTTTCGAGTACCTTAAGATTTATTAACAAAACAAAGAAGACGAAAGAAAACAAACAAACACAACAAAATGGGAATTATATTATTAAATAAGCTTTTCATTTACAGAGGAAAAACAAAACAAAAAATCAGCAAATTAACTTCTATAAAAACAATTCAATAGCATTAAGTATTTGGGTAGAGGAATTTACAACAAAACCAAAAAAACAAAAACAAATTTTATGACAAATTAATTAGCAAAAAAAACAAAACATCATCCAAGCAACAATTTGTAGCCTGAAATGCTAGAGAGATACTATCTATTAACATTTGTAAAAAGTATAGCCAAAAGCCAAGCTAAATTTCCTTTCGAACGAACGAACAGCAGTCCTTGGTGGATGTCAAGAAAAAAACACAATTTCTTCAACTGCATCAATTATATATTTACAAAAAAAAAAAAAAAAAAACGAAAATTAAAACAAAAATTAATTTTAAATTAACAAACACAAACAACAAAAGAACCAATTTGCTTATTCAAACGTTTTGAAACTAATCTGTTAACATACTTTTATTTAAATTTTAAGCTTTATATTTCAATTTATATTGTTAATGTTTAACATAACAATGCGGCATATTTAAATAATTGATAATTGGTCCATAGCAGGCCTATTTGGAACGTATTTAATAATTATTAAATAAAATATAATATATTTTTTTTAACTTAAGATCCGTAATGCTCTTAAAAATATGGAGGGCTTAGGAATGGACGCTAGATATCGGAAATATCTCAAGCAGGAATCTGTCGTGAAATTCTTGGGTATTTTATTAACATTCATGTATGAATCAAGTCTATATTGGGGCATGTTAACGTTAGAGCTTTTTTCCGGTTTAACCTTGGTTATGAAGATTTATTTTAGGTACACACAATGGAATTAAAAATTATAGCCGTCTGGGTTTTCTAAATCTTTTACAAGTTAAAGGTAACATTACATTTCTTTAGATCATGTATGTCCTTCCTGACACGCCGGGTTTGGGTGCTTCCAACAATAACACCCAAGCAGGTAGTGCAACGAAAGCATACGATTATGCTGACGAACGGGAAGAACCTTCACCTCCGCATGTAGATGGTCCACTGGTGTCATGACGAGCCACCAGTCCTCAGGGCAGCATTCTGGCAGGTTTGGATGTTCTTCCATTGCGTGTTGGCTTCCCTCTCTTGATCATATAAGTCCTTTCTGATACGCCTGGTTTGGATGTCTCCAACGATAACACCCAAGGTACTGCAGGGACTGCAATGAAACCATATGATTATGCTGACGAACGGGAAGAATATTCACTTCCCCATGTAGATGGTGTCATGATGAGGCACTAGTTCTCAGAGCAGCATTCTGGCAGGTTTGGATGTTCTTCCACTGCGTGTTGACCTCCCTCTCTTGATCATGTATGTCCTTCCTGACACGCTTGGTTTGGGTGTCACCAACGATAACACCCAAGCAGGTACTGCAACGAAACCATATGATTATACTGACGAACGGGAGAGAGGGCCTTCGGCATGTAGTAGATGGACCACTGATGTTATGATGAGGCTCCAGTTCTCAGGGCAGCATTCTGGCGGGTTTGGTCATTTTGATTTGAACATGCTGTCAAATGTGATCCATACAATCTTGGAATAGTTCGCCTTCAGAATTATATTTTTCTAGACCTGTACATTCACCTCTGTTTTCATCTCCGCAAACCAATCAACAAACATAAGATCTTTATGGGCAAGGAATTCTGGAAAGGTATACGTTATACAATTTCAGAAATATCACCCACCCCGGAGAACTTCCTGTTTCACACTACGGGGTTTTGGACACCTTGTTCCGGAATTCCACGCCAAATCTTCTAAAATACCAAATTTGAAATAATTTCGTGGGTAAATGTGACTAGGATCATCCAAATACCGAATATTGTGGACCTAACTATTCAATGTTCTGGGGCTGGAGCAAGAACCCATTATGAAACCCGTGGAAAATGTGTATCCGGAGATACCTTTAAATGGGGGGCTACCGGAATTAGTGATTTTAGATTAGCAACGTTCAGCAGCTACAGGAAATAGAACGCATTGCACACTCTAAGTGCCTGAACACTTTTGTTGGAAAATGTGGCTAAAATTATTAAAATACCAAATATCGGGAGATGTCGTAGTTATGGGTATTATATGGCGACACGGGGACCTATATAGGCAATGTTTCTTGCCGCAAGAGGTATTCAAAATTGCGTAGATATTTGCTCATATTTTTCAAAGCAAGTACGACTACTATTCATCAATCATTTCAAAATTCTTTTTTGGGACTACTCATTTTGACTTCCTCGCCAAAGGTGTTTCTGTGTTCTGAACTCAAATACTTTAAATGTAACCTTATCTCATAGTTTTCAACAATTTAAATATGCCGCATTACAAATAACTCTATCAAAAAACTCTACAAAATGCCTTGTAAATTTAATTAAAACCTCTGTGAACAAAATTCGAAATTAAAACGAAGCTATTTTCATAAATTTGTATAAGCTTTTTTTTTGCAAATTTTTATATAGATTTAATACTCAAAACAACAACAATAACCCAAATAGAATTCTTGCTTAAAGCTCTATCAATATCGAATGTATTTATTATTCAACTATCTTTAATATTCATTAATATTTATTTTAATGTGCAACAAAGTTATTGTGTGCAAAAAAAATGAAAACTATAACCAAAGCGAATCAAAGGCCTTTATTTTTCAAAAACTTATTTATTAAAAAAAACTATACAAGAAATACTCAAAGAAAATAATTATATTTTTATTAAATATTCCCAGAACAAGAAGAGAAAAACAAAAAAAAAACAAATCTAGTCTATTCCAATGTAATTAAATGCAGATTGTCTCTATATAGTTCATCATATTATCAAAATAATAAAATTGAATTACAAAAATTTTCCATTTTGTTTGCTGCAAAAATTGTTTTAAATAAAATACCAAAGCATCGAACACCCTCCTCCTCCTCTAATAATCATTTTCCCCCATTGAATAATTGTTTATATTTTAAAAATAAAAACCTTAAATATAACAATGCATAGAAATAAATATTAATTATAAACACATACATACGACAAAAACACAACTATTTTTTGACAGACAAAAACAACAAATTCTGTTACAAAAGAAAAATAAGATGAATTGAAATGCAATGCTTTTATTGCTTTTTAAACAAATAAACCAAAAAAAAAAAAAATAAAAAAAAACATTTTATTTATACATAAAAGTAAAATTGATAAAAACAACAAAACAAACACACAAAATAACAAAAAACCATAAAAAATTAACAAAATGTATTTTTATGTAAACGCTTTGCCTTAAGAGAAAATAAACCAACAAAAATTTGAGAAAAACAAAAACTTAAAATTATCTATTGAAAATAAAAGTGGAATTTATTTCATGTAATTAAAATCGACAACGACTGTGTTTTTTTATTCTATTTGTCAATATTGAAGCGTTCCATTGGAAAGTGTAATGAAGAATACTCTACAATTTAAAATAACAGAAAATTGAATTCAGTTTCGCAACATGAGTTTTAATGATTAAACTCCAAGAAACAGTTGCTTTGAGAGCAGATATATTCCCTCAGCATATGACTGTTTATACAGGGTGAGATGAAAAAACTGCAACCAATTTCCGACTGCTGTCATTTCATTTCTAAGTCACTCGTCCGATAGTTGTTAAAATTATTCCAGTGACAGCTCATTATATTGTTTACAAGCGCACAAAAGCATTTTGGTGAAAATTTTCCAGAAAAGGTTATTCGTGATGGAATTCAAGCGTGATAGTGTGATTTCTTTATATTTAGCTGGAAAACCACAAGTCGCTATCGTTAGAGCACTCCAGCATTTAAATGTGAATAAATCTTTTGTGACTCGTACCATCGCTCGTTACCGTGATACTGGTAGCGTAGCCCGACGTCAAGAAAGTGGACGGAAGAAAACATCAATACCAACAAAAATGGTTGGAAAAGTAAAGAAGCGACTTGATGAAATCATCGTCGCAGTGGCCGAAAAATGACTCGTTAGTTGAACATATTGCAATATTCCATTCGGCAAATATTGAAAAACTAGCTCGGGTTAAGGCCATTGAATTTCCAAAAAGTGCAAGAACTTACACCGCAAAGGAAAGAAAATAGACTCAGAGTTGCTTCGCTAGGCCGAAAGTGGTGAACTGCCAAATTTGGTTTTCTCCGATGAGAAAACATTCGTTGTCCAGCAGTTTGTAAACAACAACAAAAAAAAATGATCGTGTTTACTTGCCAAAGAGGTCAGCTGAAAATGTGCACCTTCGGTTGGCCACCAAAACTCAAGCGCCGGCCATGGTGACGGTGTAGGGCGCCATAACAGCCGATGTTCTGGAGGGTGTATTAAAGCCTTGGACACGCAAGCATTTTGGCCGCAGACCTTGGACATTTCAACACGACTCATCACCATCGCACTCAGTAAGCGCCACGCAAGAATGGTTACAAAATAAGGTTCCTCGCTTCATTTCCAGAGCACAATGGCCACCAAAATCTGCGGATACCAATCCGTTGAACTATTGTGTCTGGAGTATTTTGGAAAGCAAGGTTGGTACTAAAAAATACCAAAGTGTCGATCATCTTAAGCAAGCCTTCGCCGGGAATGGGCCAAAAACACCGCAGAGCAACATTCGGGCAGCGTGTGACGGTTTCATTGGCCGTTTGAAGTCCATAATTCGTACCAAAGGTGACCAATTCGAACAAATCTAAACTTACACTAAAATTTGATGCTATTTCCGACATTTCATTTAATGAAATTTAAGAAAGAATGTTAAAATTTGGCGTTTGACTTTGTTGCAGTTTTTTATCTCACCCTGTATATGGGAGCTATAGCTTTATCTGTGAAGCTATAGCTTTATCCGATTTTAACCAAAATTTGGAGCACTTGATATTAGGATAAATTAAGTCGGAATTGCCAAAATTCAGTCCATTTGGCCTGATATTAGGCATTTGGTGCACAATAAACCTGATATCGAACAAAAATATATGTGAGAGCTATATCCTAACCTGGTCCGATCTCGATAAAACTTGACAGAGGTAGTTTTGAGATCATTAAGTTATCTGGTACCAAATATTATTCTTGTGGAGTGCATATTAGGCTTGTAAGAGACTTAAATCCCAAATCGGATGAAACATATATATGCGAGCTATAGCTATATATGAACCGAGTTTTTCCTAATATTATGTACTTACTTCTGTACTGAATTTGGTTGGATATGCCAAAATTCAGTTCATTTGGACTGACGTTGTCCATTTGGTGCAGAATTCACACGAAATCGGTTGAATACATATTTGAAGCGGACGGACAGACTGACTGACATGCATAAATCGACTCAGAAAGTGACTTTATGAAGATCCTCACAAGTAACTATGTGTCTATCTCGCTTCCTTCCATGATACAAACAAATGCACAAACGCATAATACCCTTACCACTATGTGGTGTAGGGTATAAATGACATACAGACATGGCTTGAAATGTCCTGAAACGGAATTAATTTAAAAGGAAAAAAACCTATTTATTGAAAACATAATTTTAGGGAACTGGTTAGAATCGGGTTATGCGGATGGAAAGACCCATATCTCAGGACTCAGTAATGGTATTAGAACAAATTGTAGCATTTTGGAAAGGTGAGAGTGTCAGCTATAAATTGCCATCAATTTTGTAGACCCTCATAATGGGCCCTTTTTTGACTTTTTGAGGGTTTTATAAAAATCCGGGTCCAAGAAATCGATAATTTGAATACAACTTCCGAACCGTGACCTTCCGAAAACGATCCACATAACGTGAGGACTGACTGATCAAAATTTTACATAAGTGACCGATATTTACATCTATTCGAAGGAGTATATAGCGGTGTCACTGTCACTAAGATCAAGTATTCGAAATATTTTTCAAAACAAAAAATAATGGTGTCTTTGCCCGCTTTCAATTCAAATAAATTACAATGTACTGCCGGTGTTTTTCCCATCGTGTTTGTTCATGAAACGCATTCACATGATTACAAACATTTGCACACTCACAGATACACACACACATACATACATCGACAACATGAATGAGTTCACATACAAGAGTTAAAATCAAAACGTGTTTCATTTACAAAAAGTTCATACCTACATCTTCTACCGCCAATCAACCAGCTAACCATCCATCCATCCATCCCAATGCATATAAATTCTACCTACAGATGTGTTAACCACACACAAATGTAAATTTTCAGAGAAAAATTCAATAAAGTGAAAAACCTATTTTGCATGTATTTGTTGGACAAAATTAAAAATGCACGATAAAGTGCAATGACATTGTTACAAGCCCACGAGCGAGCGTGGGGAAAGAAGAGTAACCGCATCGCTACAGGTTCGTTACCATTTAACGCACAATAAACAGATCCGACGTGCGGTCATTCAATGTGTTTGTCCCCAAAAAATTTGGATGATTAATTTTCGTCGAAGCATTAGCATGGTAACCCTGTTCAGCGTCTTTTTATTATGGAAAAACTTTGCAGAAAAGCATCTGCAAAAAAAGGCGCAAAACTACTGACTGAATATGTTCCGGCATGCGGTTGACGCAGCTGCTGCGGCTAACTCTACAGACTGCGCCAAGCAGCTGTCAACAGCTTTTTTCATGTTTGTGCAAGCAACAAAAATGCACAGAATTTTATAAAAATCCTTCTATATGCAATTACAAGATGCCAAAGGACATTAATTATTGCAAATTCTCACTTACAGAAACATTGTAAATATAAAATATATGACACAGGGTTCATTCAACTTGTCATTAATTTAACAGCAAAACCTTCTGCTGCGTCCCTTGTTGTCTCATGGTGCCTTCTGTTGAAATCATTCCAACACAAATAGACTTCACGCCAAATTCAATATTTTGCCCTAAAGATTTTTGTCTTAGTATTCATATCTTCTGACCACTCACCTCAATAGAAGAATTACTCGGCTTGCTTCCACAAATATATTAACACTTTCTTAAAATTATATATATTTTTTTAACCAATGTACTGCAAATATCGACAAACGTTGACTAACGCAATGCACTGAATTCTTTTTTGCGACTGATGTTCACAACAATAACATGGCGGCTCAATACAATGTTGCAATTTTTGGCACTACATACCGGGGTTGCCACACCGGGTGATTTCTTTGTGAAAATAAATGTATAGTTGCCACCATGTTAATTGTTCGCTGTTTAGCGTGCAAGCGTATAGTTGACGTAAGTACGTTGTACATGCACGCAGAAAAATGCGTGGATATTAACTCAATGTACATTTGCTTGCTTCCATGGTACAATGAATTCAAGGTAGGGCAGAACTACCATATGATTTCAATTTTTTTATTTTTCTGGCTTAATATGTCAACTTAATTTGTTTATGTGTGCGTATTCTTTTCAATAATAACAAATTTTTCAGAAAATATTCAAATTCGGGTGTTTTCAAAATGCTTATTACAACATATGTATCGACAAAATCTACAGTTTTTGTCGCGAAATAAACCATAAGAGATATATAGAATATGATTTTGAAAAGAAATTTTGAACTATTATTCAGTTTTCGCGGTTTTAAATTATTTATTCAAAATCAATGCAACAAGTTGTTTGCTTTTTTACTGTTTTGATAGTAATTCTGACATTACAAGCCAAACAGGTAGACCTCTATACTTGCAATTTTTTCAAAGTTGACCTACCTTCTCTTCATTGTACCATGCTTGCTTCTATCATATTTAAACTGGACTGAGGAATGCATTTCAGGTATATGCAGTCAAATTTTCTATATCCAAAAAAATGTAGATGCAATCATGGTACCATGGTACAATGAAGAGAAGGTAGGTCAACTTTGAAAAAATTGCAGGTATAGAGGTCTACCTGTTTGGCTTGTAATGTCAGACTTAGTATCAAAACAATAAAAAATCAAACAACTTGTTGCATTTCTTTTGAATAAATAATTGAAAAAACGCGATAGCTGAATGAAAGGTCAACACTTCTTTTCAAAATCATGTACTATATATCTCTAAAGGATTATTTCGCTACAAAAACTCTAGATTTTGTCGATGCATAAGTTGAAATAAACATTTTGAAAACACCCGAATTTGAATATTTTCTGAACAATTTTTTTGTTATTGAAAGGAAAACACATACATAAACAAATAAAGATGACATATTAAGCCTAGAAAATAAAAAAATTGAAATCATATGGTATCATAGCCCTACCTTGATATCATTGTACCATGGATGCAATATAAATTGTAAAGAACTGTTTACGAGTTTACACAGCGAATTCAGAAAAAATCCATTGAAAGACTGATTAAAATCTTTAAAATGCAATAAAAAGGAAGGTATCATTATATAGAGATATACGAAAAATTTGACAAGCAACTCTGCGCTGGAGTCTTAAAGTATCAAATAGACTTTTAAAAATGCAACAGTTGCTTTTGTTTATTTTTCATTTTTGTAACAAAATTTTTATATTGGGAAAATCCGAGAAACAAGAATGGAATATTGGGGTAAGATTGAACATAAAATAGTAGGACTATACAGTTTTATTCCAAAATTGTACAATGTTTTGCCCATTAACGACGAAAATATGCATTTATTTTGCAATCGAATTTGAAATAATTTCAAATTATTGTATTTTTATTAAAAACAGTACTCAAAATGTGTGTATGTTTTGATATAATAAGGGCACCAAAAGAAAAAAAATTGTATTCAGGGGATAGCTTTTTCTACCTTCTATAATTGTGCCATTCTACCGCCTAACTTTACATATCGAAGTCCAGATAATTAAATTCCATTCAAAAATCTAACAATAATTATGAAAAACCGAATATCGAGTGTTACCTCTGAGTGGAATGTAAATATATATATATATATATATATTTTATTGGTCTGTGAATAAGAAAATTCAAACACGTTCGATGTGAACAACATATATTCGTTTTAAGTGACGCTGAGCCGAAGCGTAAAACGATTAATCGCCGACACTTGCCGCCACAATTGTGCGCAAGTTGCAGTGAATAATTTGTTATGAAACCATTGTCAATTTTGACAAGACTCCCTCAAAGGGAAGATTTAATGAGTTTTACTCAAAAATATTAAAAAAATTATACAATATTCCCAAAATGTCCTTATTGAAAGCATTCTCAAGGTAAGAATAATCCAAGACTCAACATTGTGCAAAATTTAAAACAGTCATTTATTCAGATTAACTCTACAATCGTCAAAATATTTGGCACAGCCTTCGGCATGGCTCCATACATCACCGGTTCTGTGTGCTGAACCACTGAAGAAAAAGAAGAAGTTGGATCCACAAATCATCAAGCAACGTGAGGACAGACGTAAAAAGAAATTGGAAAAACAAATTAGACGTTTGGAGAAGAATGCCCGCCAATTGAAACCCATCGAGGAACTGGAGGTCCCTCTGACGTTGATAGATGAACAAAAGTAAGTTTCAATCACCAAAACATGAATTATTTCTTTATTTGAAGTATATTCTATTTAATTTAGACAACGTACACGCACTTTGCCACCTCTGAGCGAAGCCGAAGTGGAAAGAAGGATCCAACTCAACAAGCAATGGTCACGTTATAAACATGAACAGAAAATGCAAGAATATCAGATAATGGATCGGCTAATGCAATCACAGCGTAAAGCTTTGGAAGAGTTGCGACTGGAATCGGAAGAGCTGTATCAGGAGGCTATACAACCCGACATGTCCTTGTTGCCGGTTAAAATTAAGGGTCCAGTGGCAACACCACCCATTCCCAATTATGTCTCGCCCGATGGTGAATATATACTAGAATCCAAAAAATGGGATATTTAATATCTTCTAGGATAATGTAATTTAGGCAAAATGTTTTTGTTTGTATATTTGCCAATAAATATTGAAAAATAAACTCGGGATATTTAATTATGATTAAGACGCTTTAGCTAATCCTTACTGGTGATATTACCTCTTTTAATCATACTATTTGACCGTTAGTTCCATATGTTTCGCCTAAATAAATAATCGCCTTACTTTATAAATTATACAGACTTCTATTTTAATTTTTTGTTGCTGTAATGGACAAGTCTTGAGTTTTGTCTTTTTGTTAACATATGATCGTTATGTTTATGCTTTTAAAATTTCCTTATTGAGACGAGCTTACTGATCAGAAATTTGAATTTAAAAATTAGGAGGGACACACCCTATGTGGTCGTTTCACTGTTTGTTAAGATTAGACATAACACAGAAATTAAAGACGACTTCTTTCTTATTATTGAATTTAAATAAGCATTTCGTTTTATTTTCTCATTTTAATGTTATTTGGCTATTAATGCCAAACTCTTGTAAATGCACAAACTGTATTTTAAGTATGTAAGTGTGTAATTTTAGAAGAAGCCTAAATACAGATGTACTCTTCATTGTTTTGTGTTATTAATTTCAATTTATAATTGAGTCTTTGTTTGAATACAAATAAATAAAGAGAATGCAAAACAAACAAGTTAAATACGATTTGTTCAGTGAATAAAAATGTAATTTTTAAATGTTTTGGTTGTAATCCGTATTGTTAGTTTTGTGTTGTAGCTAATGATCAACGTTGAGGATCTATTTGGGTTATACAGTATTCCAAGCATACAATATGAAAAAGAAGTTAAGAGTAAGGTGAAATCACACATTTGCTTCCGTGAAATGTTTATTACGACGATGAAGTTGATGCACCACCAGCAGCTTTAACAGCAGCCTGACGTTTTTTGACACCCCAATTATAAACACGAGCCATATTCACTTCGGTGGTGGTAATTTGATCTCTGGAATGGGTACATAGATAAAATTGAAATCATACTCAATTTAAATTGTTTATGGACCTACCTTAAGAAATCTTGATCATGTTCAACAGTCTTCAAGTTCGATATGGCGGAGGTCATGTTTTGTTTCAACAATACTTCAGCCTCATCTAGAGGATATTCCAACATAACACTGGCTCCCAACCACAGACACACCGTTTTAGTTGGTGGCACAATGGTTTTGATGAACACCTGATCGCTCAATAAGAACTGGGTTTCACGTTCTTCCGTTTCCTTGCGCAACACATCAATCATTTCCAATGATCTTTGGAGATCGGGTATTTGAGATTTCAGTTTACGTCTGCGTGCCTCCAAATTATATGCCATAAATCTGTATTTACTGTGCTGCTCATCGAGACGTTGCAATACTTTTTCGCAATTTTCTTCATTTTCCGGTTGGCTCATAAAACTATCGATTTCTTCCTAAAAAAATCAATTGGCAAAGAAAAAGAATCAGTACCATTAATTGGAACAGGATTTCAATTATATCCAGCCTTTTGCTCTGTGTGAGTCAGAGCACCCTGTTTCTGCCAGGGTTTGTAGGTTATGGTGGCCGTAAATATGACCATCCGTACTAGATTTACTCACTAAAAATATTGCTTCGGGTATTCCAGCGAAGGATTTTTGATTTTCGGGTAATTTTGGCATTTCTACAGTGTCCATGATTCCAGTCATTGTGTATTCTTAAGTTTTTAATTGGAAATTTATCAAAAATATTCACAGCAGTTGACTTTTTTTGAGAGCGACTATTTATTAGAACACTGAGCCGAGTATTATTTTGTTTCAAACGTCGGTAATTTTATGACGGCGTTTTTGATCGGGCTGCGAAGTTCTGTTTTAAGGGGAGTATAGACATTGGAACATACATTATTTTCCTCACAAAAGTTCAAAAGTGAATGAGCCATTGACACTATGACGGGGGATATTACTGCCCAATTCAAAGGACAATGAAGGAAGATTACGAGGGTGGACATGATGATTATATGATATCAAAGCGAACTTAATTCAGAAAAATTGACAGTGTTTCTTCGTTATTATTAATATTTTTTTTAAGTTTACTGGTCCCATTGTCTATATATTTTGAATTTTTCGCTGTGTTGTACTTGCTAAACTATTTTTTATGAGCATTCCTCTGTTCAAGAATCTAATAATTTTGCAATATTTTTTTTATATATTATATCATCATTTTTTATATAAAAAATATGTTATCGTAATAAAAAAATTGCATACTTGTTTTTATTTTTTTTATGTTATTGTTATTATTTTCAAGGAAATCTCTAATAATGCCGTTACCTGAAATGTTTGAAAAAAAAAAACCAATACAATTACGCCTGCGTTTGGGCACAAACGATATTAAAAAAAGGTTTCAAGAAAATATTTTTTTGTAAAAAGAACGGTAAAGGGCTAAGTACATAAGAAGCTTGAAGTCGTGGCTAGGCATATTTTGTGACATTTCACAAAGGGATTACAGAGCCGCACTAAAATCCAGCCGTCGTTTTCCATTATAATTTGACATTAATATGCCTAGCCATGACTTCAAGCTTCTTATGTACTTAGCCCTTAAGACACTCGCACCTATGTAAACTTGTCCCTAGCGCCGCTACGTTATTGCAAACGTTGTCGTACGTCATACGTCGATGGTTTAGAAAAATACAAACTCCTGTCAAACAGTCATTTGTTGACATTTGGACTGGCGGCATTTAAAAAATAGAGTGGAAGCATTTTTCAAAGGAACAAAAGAATTTCATCAACCTTTAGAGTTAAGTTTGGAAGTATAAAATTTTAAGACGCTACAAAATGTCGGATTCGGATGAGATTATAACTAGCGATGAAGAATCAAGCAATGAAGAAGAGATTGCGACCAGCGATGCTGCTGAAAGTGGAGATGACGACAGTGAAGTAGATGATAGCAGAAATCAACCGCCCAGCAGAGAATTAACTGTCGAAGATTCTGATGTCTCGTCAGATGGTAATGAAAGCATGATTGTGGCAAACAGAAATAAAGGTAAAAAGAAAAAAAGAAAAGCTGTAATCGAATCCGATTCTGAACTTGAAGAGGAGGAAGAAGAGCTGGAGGAACGTGCATTTTCTCCCAGAACCCGAATGAGCATTACCGGAATTAGACCCGCCGATTTGACAGACGACAGCAGTGAAATCGAATATTCCGATGATGAAAGTGCAAAGAAAAAGTCCAACTTAAGTAATATATCAGAGGTCTACAATGACGATGAAGGAGGCGATGGTGGATCTGGCATTGAAACAGAAGATGAAGAGGAGGATAATGAAAAGACAAACTCCTTCATTGAAAAGTCAGCGGAAGAAAAGTCTGATATACATAGTTCCACAATGAACCAAACTGATGGTAATGCCAGCAGATCAGAAATGGCGAGCAATTCAGAAATAGAAGAATCCTCCAGTGGGAAAAATTCAAGCACACTATCGCCGAAAGTTGTTGGTAACACATTGGGGGGTAATGTCAATTCTCCTCAACCACCACGTTATAGTATACACTTTGCCAAGGAAATTCAAGATAAACTGTCGTCGACTTTATATCAACCAAGGGAAGTAGAACCAGAAATCGATTCTTCAGCCGACAGCGATATACAGATCATTGAAAAGGTCGAGAAGCCCATTGAATTGTCCTCAGATGATGCTGGCAGCGAAGAAGATAAGGAAAATAAAACGCACATTAATACAACACAAAAAAATTTGGTCCAACCAAAAATTTTGTCTGCCCTTAACAATGTAGCTCCTGCCATGAAAACACCTATGAATAAGGGCAACTTGAGGCACGTCTCTCAGGAATACTACGACAAAGAAATTAGAAAATTCGAGGAAATGAAATCGGAACTAATTAATGCGGAAAAACTTTTGGAAAAAATATCGAAATCATTGCCCGATGGTGGCAGGCAGTTATCGCTGCGAATAGAACGGTTGCGTAATGATGTGAGCATTAAATCAAAATATATTGCCTCTTTGTATATTGAAGATGCTCCCGGGGCAAGCGGACCTGTATATCCACCTGATGATAAGGATTCGCCATCACAGAAATTGCAAGATATTCAAAAGCAACGCAAGGCTTTCTTCAATAACAATGCAGCACCAAATTGGGATGATCTTTCGGCAGCTGTAAATCAAATACAGCCAACTCATACCGGCAAACAGGGCATGGCCACATTTAATAATCAAAAAGTTCTGACAATGGAACGTCTTAAGGTAATTAAAAGGAATACAATTGAATTGAATCAAGAATTGATACTTTTACTAATGATGAAAACTTAGAACGGATATCTGAATACAATGTTTGAGTTTCTTTGGTAGCCTAAGACGAAACTAGAACATGAGTTAATATGTTTAGTTGCCATCGGAGACCAATGAAATTTGGCATTTATTGATTAAAATCCTTTCACACACACCTTCTGACTGAAGTATATATATTTTTTAAAGATATGCATTTTTGAATACCATTTTGTTGTAAATACTGAGATCCCTGTTATATCACTTTTAGGATCTCCATGGTTCGTTGGAAAGCTGTCCAGCGGAAAATGTCTTGGCTGATGATCCCAAGGGTCTTAAAGTCACTCTAATGGATCATCAGAAGCATGCTTTGGCTTGGATGTTCTGGCGTGAGAAACAAAAACCTCGAGGCGGTATATTGGCCGATGATATGGGTTTGGGTAAAACGTTAACTATGATTTCATTGGTACTGGCTAGTAAAAACCGGGAAGAGGAGGAGGAAGATGAGGATAAAGAGGAAGAAAGTGAATCGGAAGATGACGGCGAGCCGAAGACGGGTTGGTCGTCGAAAGGAAGAAGGGATTGTAAGTAGATTGCTTTGCGCAATCCAACATACATAACCTTTTGTAATTTCATTGTTTTCTTTAAGACTATCCTGGCGGTACTTTAGTCGTATGTCCTGCCAGTTTAATGCGCCAATGGGAAGATGAGGCTCAAACTAAAGTATCAAGACATCGCTTAACCGTTTGCGTACATCATGGTAATAATCGTGATTCAAAACCCAAACATCTGCGTACATATGATATTGTAGTTACAACCTATAATATCGTGGCACGTGAACATAAAACCTCTGGAGCTTTGTATGGTATTAAATGGAAACGTATAATACTGGATGAGGCTCACGTTGTTCGTAATCACAAAGCCCAATCTTCGATGGCAGTATGTGAGCTAAAAGGTAAAAATAGATGGGCTTTGACCGGTACACCCATTCAAAACAAAGAAATGGATGTATATGCCTTATTGAAATTTCTACGTTGTTCGCCATTCGATGATTTTGCCCATTGGAAGAAATGGATTGACAAAAGTGCTGGTGGACAACAACGTCTGAACACCATCATGAAATCCCTGATGTTGAGACGTACCAAAGCCCAGCTTCAAGATCGTGGTGAACTGCAATGTCTGCCTAAAAAGGAAATTGAATTGATTGAAGTGGAATTGGATAAAGATGAAATGAATGTTTACCAGAAGATTATGATTTTCTCGCGGACACTATTTGCCCAGTTCCTGTTTCAAAGGGCGGAAAGAAATACCGATTTACACTATCGCGATCAGAGTTCTAAGCCCACGTTTATGCAATCGAAGGATCCCAATGATGCTTACTATAAAATGCACAAGAAATTCACAAAACTTCATCAGGGTACCAAGGAAATTAAATCTCATGAAATTTTGGTGCTACTACTGAGGTTAAGGCAAATCTGTTGTCACCCTGGTTTAATTGATTCGGTGGGTAATATAGACCACTTCTTGTAATCATTTTAATCTAAATTAGTTGCTTTGTGTACTTACAGATGTTGGAAGATGATGATGCTCATCACATAACCACCGACAGTGATGCTTCACATCCTGAAATAGATTTATTGGAACAGCTAAATAAGTTAGCCATTACGGATAAAAATGACAGCGCCACAATGATGATGAGCAATAGTATGAATGAACCTGATACATCACTGAGACCTGAAGAACAAGTTATGGCCAAAGCCTCTGCCCGGGTGTTGCAACGAAACAATCCCGTATTCAATATGGATAGGCCATCATCGAAAATGGTCAAGGTTATGGAAGTATTAAAGGAACGTGTATTGGCAGCTGGTGATAAGGCCATTGTGGTGTCACAATGGACAAGCGTTTTGAATATACTGAAGACACACATTGAAAGGGAAAATGTTGCAACCCTTTCACTGAATGGTTCGATTGCGGTGAAAAATCGCCAGGAAATTGTTTCGGAATTTAATAATGCCAAGAGTAGCAAACGTATTCTATTATTGTCATTGACGGCCGGTGGAGTGGGTTTAAATTTAGTTGGAGCAAATCATTTGTTGCTCATCGATTTACATTGGAATCCTCAGTTGGAGGCTCAGGCCCAAGATCGTGTATATCGTGTTGGCCAAAAGAAAGATGTTATTATCTATAAGTTCATGTGCAAAGATACTGTGGAGGAGCGTATTAAGGCGTTGCAGGATCACAAAATGGCATTGGCCAATGGTGTGTTGACCGGTGCAGGCGCCACTGAGGGAAGCAAACTTACTATGGATGATCTTAAGGGTCTTTTTGGCATTTAATTAGGATTCATCGTGTGTGTCTTTGTGTTAAGTATTTTTTTGTATTGAAATCTCGTTTTTTTCCTTTTTGCATTCCACGCATAAGTGTATTACTTCTCGAATCGTGTGAGTTGAATGTTTTTATACTGTATTATCTCTTTGGTAAAAAGAAACGAAATTGTTCCGGATTATTTTGTTTTTTTTTATTAAATGTATTTAAATAAACCAATAAATATTTATTTTTATACATAAATGTTTTCCAGATAATCTAACTAGTGGCGAGAATATTCCACAGGAAGTTGAAGAGAATTTAGGGTTTCATAACAGGAGGAATTACCCATAGCAAACCAAAATTGGTTGTAAAGATACTGTCTACATTACAAATCAGAAAATTAAATAAGTTAGTTAATAAGAAATTATTTTCACACCTTTCAAGAAACTCTTGTTACCTGTGGACTTGAGACATTGTGTTTACTGCGTTTGAAATATCTTAAAATATTTGCTTAGATAATTCAGTATATTATTTTATTTCAGAAATATGCCATTTGCAACAGGCTTCAATCTGATAATAGCAGTTTTTTAACCTTGAAGAAAACTATTTATAAGTCTCAATACAGACTGAAGTAAGTTGGCCATAACAAAAACACCATTGGTTATTTTCTCGGAAGTAACCTGTACTACTTGGCCACACCTAACTAACTAAGTAACTTTGTAAAACAAAAATAAGTAAAATAGTATCTGTCGTCCAGTCTTAAAGTTATGATTATTCAAACTGTTGACCCTTTATGGGGGAGATTCTGAAGCAGTTGGCCAATATTGAATTGGGATCGGACGTTACTTTCACTTTTTATGAGCTTCATGGATACTCAATATTTTGACCCTTTGTAAGGGAGGTACCAGAAGGAGTGGACCGATATATCCCATCTTCACAACTTGGGTTAATAAAAATATTGTGATGTGTGTAATTAGAAGAGAACCGGAAGCTTGTGTCGGATTTTATGAAATTTTAGAATAAGTTTAGATTTGTTCGAATTGGTCACCTTTGGCACGAATTATGGCCTTCAAACGGTCAATGACACCGTCACACGCTGCCTGAATATTGCACTGCGGTATTTTGGCCCATTCCCGGTGAAGCGCTTGATTGAGGTGATCGACACGTGGGTATTTTTTAGTGCCAACTTTGCTTTCCAAAATACTCCAGACAATAGTCCAACGGATTGGTATCCGGAGATTTTGGTTGCCATTTTGGTGCGCTGGAAATGAAGCGAGAAACCTCATTTTGTAACCATTCTTGGGTGGCGCGTGCTGAGTGCGATGTTGCTGAGTCCTGTTGGAATGTCGAAGGTCTGCGGCCAAAATTTTTGCGTGCCCAAGGCTTTAATACACCCTTCAAAAGAATTTTCGCTATAATATTCGACATTTATTCTGATGCCACGGTCGATTAATACGAGCGGAGAGCGACCATCGGCTGTTATGGCGGCCCACAGTATTACCGGCGCTTGAGCTGACCTCTCTGGCAAGTAAACACGATCGATTTACAAACTGCCGGACAACGAATGTTGTCCTCATCGAAAAAACCAAATTCGGCAATTCACAACTTTCGGCCAAGCGAAGCAACTTTTTAACTCTTTTGAGTCTATTTTCTTTCTGTTGCGGTATAAGATCTTGCACTTTTTGGGGATTTTAATGGCTTTCCCCCTAGCTCATTTTTCAATATTTGTTGAATGGAATATTGCGATATTTTCAGCTCACGAGCCATTTTTCGACCACTGCGACGCGGTTTTCCATCAAGTCGCTCCTTTATTTTTCGAACCATTTCTGCTGATGTTGCTGTTTTCTTCTGTCCACTTCCTTGACGTCGGGCTACGCTACCTGTAGCACGGTAACGAGCAATGGTAGGAGACATAAAAGAATCACTCACATTTAAATGCTGAGGTGCTCTAACGATAGCCACTTTTGGTTTTCCAGCCAAATATAAAGAAATCACTCTTGAATATTATCACGAATAACTTTTTTTCTGGAAAAATTTCACAAAAATGCTTTTGTACGCTTGTAAACCATATAATAAGCTGTCACTGGAATAATTTAAACAGCTGTCGGACGGCGAGTGGCTTAGAAATTACAGCAGTCTGAAGTTGGTTGCAGTTTTTTCATCTTACCCTGTATACTACTCGACCACAATCACAATCCAGATTCGACCAAGTTGGCTGTATCAAAAACACAATTGGTTATTCTCTCGTCAGTTAGTATTACTATCCGGAAATATATACATATACTCCTCGGCCACACCTCGTGGAATACTCATTAAACCATTCAGGATTAAAGTTAAATAAAAAATCATCATTTTCCAATTTGCAATATCAACTTTTATACACATATTTTATTTAATTTTTAACACATTTATATATTCTAACTAAATTATTAAAAAAAACCTTGTTACAAAAATCCATTGTTTAAGCCAGTCCATACGTATCTCCCTTACTTCTCGTTCAAGTCCATCATACGCTTTTGCATGTAACGTTTAAACAAATCCATACCCCTAATGCCAGGACACAAACGGAAATCGGAGCACTTTTCACGGCTTTCGCATTTTTGACAAATTCCACAGACCGTACAAATGGCATTATCGGCACAACGATCCCCGGGATAGCACATTTCATCCAAACCGACATAGCAAACGTAGCGATCGGCACAATTGTGTGGATCGTAGTTTTCAATGTAGCCCCCATATTTGCAGGGACGCCAAATGTTGGTGACTTCATTCTTGCCCGGACAGCGTATATTGGGATTTGAGGCAAACATATTGTTGGCCATCAATTCGCGTATTCCAACCGCCAGCGAACATTGCCAACAGAAGGATAGAACCAGCAGGAGTAACAAAAGACTCTGACGACTGTTAATTGATTTGGTAGAGCTGCGTTTGTACATTTTGGTTTGATTAATGTTTCCTTTGCGACTGGTAGACTTTACGAATGACATCCTTCGTCCTGTGGCTTCTTTTTATAGGCAGATTGAGCAATTGAAATCGGTGGCTATTACATCAGGGATTTCAGGCTAAATCCTTTTTGCATTAATTTACATTAAATTTATAATTAAATCGATAATCAATACATTACAATGAGGTATTAGATTTTCAATAAAGTATACAGGGTGAAATGAAAAAATTGCAACCAAGTTCAGACTGCTGTCATTTCTATGCAAATGGTCCGACAGCGGTTAAAATTACTTCATTGACAGCTCAGTACTTTTTTTACAAGTGTACAAAAGCATTTTGGTGAGAATTTTCCAGAAAAAAACTTATTCGTGATGGAATTCAAGAGTGATAGTGAGATTTCTTTATATTTGGCTGGAAACCAAAAGTCGCTATCGTTAGAGCACTTCAGAATTTAAATGTGAATACATTTTTTGTGTCTCGTACCCTCGCTCGTTACTGTGATATTGGTCAAGAAAGTGCACGGAAGAAAACAGCAACATCAGCAGAAATGGTTCGAAAAGTAAAGAAACGACTTGATCGAAACCCGCGTCGCAGTGGCCGAAAAATTACTCTGAGCTGAAGATATCGCAATATTCCGTTCGGCAAATTTCAATATGAGCTCGGGGTGAAGCCATTTTCCAAAAAGTTCAAGAACTTACACAGCAACAGGAAGAAAATAGACTCAAAAGAGCTAAAGAGTTGCTTCGCTTGGCTGAAAGTGGTGAATTGCCGAATTCGGTTTTCTCCGATGAGAAAACATTCGTTGTCCAGCAGTTTGTAAACAAACAAAATGGTGGTGTTTACTTGCCAAAGAGGTCAGCTGAAAATGTGCACCTTCTGTTGGCCACCAGAACTCAAGCGCCGGCCATGGTGATGGTGTGGGCCGCCATGACAGCCGATGATCGCTCACTGCTCGTATTAATTGACCGTGCCATCAGAATAAATGCCGAATATTATCGCGAAAATATTCTGGAGGGTGTATTAAAGCCTTGGGCAGGCAAACATTTTGGCCACACACCCTAGACATGCCAACAGGAGTCAGCACGCGTCACCCAAGAATGGTTACAACATGAGTTTCCTCGCTTCATTTCCAGCGCACAATGGCCCCCAAAATCTCCGGATACCAATCCGTTGGACTATTGTGTCTGGAGTATTTTGGAAAGCATGGTTGGCACCAAAAAATACCAAAGAGTCGATCACCTCAAGCAAGCCCTTTGCCGGGAATGGGCCAAAATACCGCAGAGCAACATTCGGGTGGCGTGTGACGATTCATTGGCCGTTTGAAGGCCATAATTCGTGCCAAAGGTGACCAATTCGAACAAATCTAAACTTATTCTAAAATTTGATGCCATAATCCGTGCCAAAGGTGGCCAATTTAAACAAATCTAAACTTATTCTAAAATTTGATGCTATTTCCGAAATTTTTTGATTTCATTCAATACAATTTCAAAAAAAAAAAAAAAAAAAGTAAAAATTATGTTGTTTGACTTTGTTGCAGTCTTTTTTTATCTCACCCTGTATATCCTTATGTATTTATGTAATGACTTTAAGTATTCCGTTTCAAGAAACGCATATAGATCATCTGGTCAAGCATAATTAATAACATTGTAACAACATTTGTAAAGTGGCGACATTTAGAGGAAAATAATTAGTGGCCAAATAAGGCAAAAGGAACGAAACGAATAAAGAGAAAAGAGGAAATTAAATATTCATAATTAGAAAATCAGTGACCATGAAAACCCACTGCCGGCGAATAAATCTGCAAATTGATTAACTTCGTCCTCAAATGTAAATTACTGAATAAATTAAGAGACCATTTAATGTAATTAATAATTCAATTATTATTGGCTATAAAAGGCTAAGACTGGACCATCACAAAGCACACAAGTAAAGTTCAGTGTCGACAAAGGAAATTCGCTCGGACAACATGTATCAACGCTGTTCTAAATCAATTGACAATCGCCAGCAAAGTCTTTTGTTACTTCTTTTGGTTTTATCCTTTTGCTGGCAATGCTCCATGGCAATTGGTATGCAAAATTGGAAGACCAACATGACAATGGAAAATCCCAACATACGCTGTCCCGGAAGAAATGAAGTCACCAACATTTGGCGTCCCTGTAAATATGGTGGCTATATTGAAAATCATGATCCCCACAATTGTCCGGATCGTTATCTTTGCTATGTCGGTTTGGATGAGATATGCTATCCCGGTGATCGTTGTGCCGACAATGCCATTTGTACGGTGTGTGGAATTT